GTTGGTGGAGCTTGCAGCTTGTGAGCGACCCTCCCTTGGCCTGATTCACTGCGCTGTCTGCAAGGCAGCCTGTTCTGAAGTGTTTAGTCTTGGTCTGCTAGAAAAACAATTTAACATGTTTTCATTTCTATTGAATTTGTATTTCCCTTTGAATGCAGCCCGAAACAAATCACAACTTAAGAGTTTGCTGGGATCTAATGGCCAAGGCGGTGTCACGGGCTGCGTGCTGAGCTGTGGCAGGAAAGGGCTGGGGTCGGGCTGCAGTGTGTCATTGCCCAGAAGCGAAACGGGCTTCCCCGGGGGGCTGCTAACAGCAGCGACTGCCCCGCTTTCCAAAAAGGCCTTCGACACATATTTAAAATCCACCCTGTTCTTGACAAGGCTGCGCATTGTTGCCAAACAAAAATGTTTCCGCAGGGAGAAGAGTGAGTGTGTTCCTTAGGGAATGTCATCCAGGAGAGCAGGTGTGGGAGAAATGAGCAGCCGTTTGGGCAGCATTTGCCATTATAAATTATGATTGCACTTGGAGTTCTGTGTGACCCTGGTTTAGATCCATGCACAATGGTTTCCTTTCTGCGGTACCACAGCAGATTCTCCCAGTTGAGCTCTCAAGGTCATGGAAGCGAAAAGGCGCAGGCGTGAGTGTGGCAGGGTGAGGGGAGAGCTCCAGAGCTCCTGCGCCGAGGAGGCAGCGGCAGCACTGGCCGGGGCCATGCAGAGTGATGCTGAGTGGGGCCATCGTGGGGCCTGTCATGCCCCCTGGATGTCGCCTCAGCCCTGGCCCTGCCAGCAGCGGGTCCCTTGCAGCATCACGTGTGTGGTTTGGCACTGTCCCCTTGCCCTTTGCTGCGTCGGGATGGGAGACGAGAGCTGAGGAGCTCAGCGTGGGATCGCTGAGCTTGGAGCATGTTGCGCAAGAGGGTCTGTCCGCTTGGGAATAAGCAGGGTGCTGGGGGTCCCCGGGACACCAAAGTGTCGTCCTTGCAGGCCGCAGGTGCCTGCGCTCACTGGGATGTCCCCATGGGGAGCAGCCCAGCTGCAGCTGACGGCTCCCACTAGCGGGACGTTATTTGGGGCTGTGCTATATTTGCCTGCCCTCCCCTTGCCAGGTTAGTTCAGAAAACCCGTTTGTCATCTGCCAGTGTTTATTTGGGTCCCAGTCACAAAGGAGATCCCGTGCATTTGCTGCGGCTGCATCCGTGCTGCACATTGTGCTCGTGGAGCAAGCGAGCTCTCACCTCCGGTGGCTGCGAAGAGAAGGCACAGTCAGTCCGGAAACATCATCAAGGATGTTGAGAAAAAGCTGAACCAACGCAGTGCACAAGGCTGCGTGTTAACATTGCACTGCTGAAAGTGCTTTAGCGGGTGGCACCTGACGAGTTCACCCGCAGGCTGTGCGATCTCAATGGGAGCAACTCAGGGGCTGCAGGTTTTGGAGTCACCCCAGCGCTGTTGGAGTTGGTGGCCACAGAGCTGCTGTGTGGGGCGGCCATGGGGCCGGTGCTGGAGCCGCGTGGCCCTGCCCTGGCTCCGCTTGCCTTGTGCCCAGGTGCGAGTCACAGGGCCTTGTTCGGGCATGAGTCCCATAATCCGCACTGAGCCAGTTATTTTTTTGTTAGCAAGTGTCATGTGCAGAGGATGGTGCTTTGAAAAGCGGTGTTTACTACTGATAACATCACTGTTATCTCAGATAGGACAGTGCTGGAAGCAACTGGAGCAGGGCTGTCATCCCCGCCTGCACGTGGGTGCGTTCTGGGTGACGATGGGCATCTCTGTGAGCGGCGCTGCCAGCCCGTGCGACCTGCAGCTGCCGCGCAGGGCGGCACGGAGTCCCCGAGAGCGTGGGGTGCCCAGGCCAGAGCAGAGCACCCAAGGGTGCGGGGAACCCGGGCAGCCAGGGTTGAGCCCTCTCACAGGCAGTACAGGGGACAGCACCGAGGCTGTGGGGACAAATCCCAAAGCAGAGATTTTTCCAAGGGCCAGCCCTGCTGGTCCCGGGATTAGAGTGCTGCTCCTGTTGTGCCATCACAGGGATGTTTGGCCGGGATGCACCTAAGTCCCAGGGCTGCTGCCAAGCCCGCTGTGTAAGCGCTGATGCCACGGGGGTCAACTAATGAGCTGGCGCAACAGGCACATCTTCACCATCGCGTTTCAGTCTGGTGGGTTGTTCTGTGCCAAAATCACTGTGATGGCTGCAGCTCGAGTCAGGAAAGAACGGAGAGTGAAGAGGGCGGTAAGCGTGTTTGCTCCTTTGCTCGGTTGTATCGGACCACTGGAAAGTGGAGCCTGCAGCAGAGCGGAGCCCGCAGCAGAGTGCCTGCTCATGCACGGGTCCTGGGGATGGTCCTTCTTGGAGCAGGTAGGACGGGGCTGCAGGAGCCTCCCCGAGGACCTGCAAGGAGAAGCGAGTCCGTGGCCTGGCACCAGGGCAGGCATGGAGGGGAGGGCGCCGTGTGGTGCCTCCCTGTGCCCGGGCCGTCTGGTGAGGACGCCCCTTGTTGCTGAGGTGGAAATTCTCTGCAAGCTCTGCGAAGCAGCTGACTTTTCTCTTATCCAAGATTGCCCTTGGTTTTCTGGGCATGTTGTGAAATCTGGGCTGTTTGGTGAAATTAACTATTGACAAACAGAGACTGGAGTTACAAAATTACTGCTCCTGCTTTGCACAAAGACATGCGTGTGCCACGGGCTAAAGCAAGCTGCACTAGTTACTTTAAAGCACGCTGATGAGGCGAAACCCTCCTCCTCCCGCTGCGGCGGGGGCGCTGAGGGTTTTTTGCTCCGCGCGGAGTGGCTGCCCTTGGCCTTCGGCGCAAGCTGGGCCCGGCACCGCCCCACGTCACCGCTGGCGAGTTGTGTCTGTGTGCGCCGCTATCTCCGCGCTTGGGCTCGAGCGAGGGTGACACTTGCACGCGTGGGGCAGGCTGCGTCCCCGTGGGGCCGCGGCCGGGGAGCCGCTCGCTCGCGTGTGCTCTGGGAGGGAGCGTGCAAACACCACCACAGGCAGAAGGATTCCTCCTTTTCAAATGTCCGATAGCATAGAAAGGAGGAAAAAAAGACAATACCGTTGGAGGACGGAGGTGCTGTGGCTGGAGGCTTAAAAATTACTGGATATTTAAGAGATTTTTAGCAGAACTTTTTATTTCACGCTGCCTGTTGGTTCTTAGGTGTGTTTTCAGTAGCTTCTGAAGCGACCTGTCGGGCCCTGCTGTGCAGGGTCTGCTGCAGACAGGGCAGTGGCATTGCTCTGGGAGGGCAGAGCAGCCTGCTGGCATGGGGAGGCTGGGAGGACCAGCACAGGGTGTTTATTGCATCTGGACATGCACAAACTGGGGCAGATAGGTCGCTGCAGACTGTATTTCCTCCTTATAATCAAGAATTCAGAAAGAGCCTTGGAAACGGAGGCTGTCCGAGGAGAAGATAGTTCAGTGGCCTCTGTAGATGGGTCGCAGGTCCTGATTGCTGCCGCTAGAAAGATGCTAAGTCCCTCAGAAATATTCCTTGTCCTCAGAGTGGAGGATAAAATTGCTGCTCCAGTTATTAACCTAAAATTTAAGCAGAATCTGCATAGCTCCAAGCTGGGGAATGTAAGAAAGCTGCACTCTTGTAGGATGCAGCTGGCAGCAAGATAGGAGACACAGAGGAGTCTCGTTTTGATCTCACCAGTTAACGGCACCGTTTTGTACTTTACTTTCATGGTTAGAGTATTAGAAAAAGACAGGTTTGCTTCTGCAAGCAGCGGAGAAAGTGGTGCACGTGAAGCCCTGCGGCGTGGGATGAGAGGGCCGGTTTGCAGAGCGCCCTCCTGGCACGGCTGCCTGCGCAGGGCATCGAGGGCGGCTCTGCTGCACCTGGGGATGCCCTGCGGGGCTGGGGCCTGCAAGGAGCCCCGCTCCATCCCAGCCCTTGTTTGCAGGCAAGAAAATCACAAAATGTCTCTTTGGACTCCTGAACGGATGAGTGGAAAATATGAAGCTAAATAATTAATACCCCACAAGCCACTGCCAGCAGTTAACTCTGATTATTATGTGACATCTCCTGCACGTTGCAGTTTTGGATGGGGGTCCTGTGCTCGCTGGCCATGCGCTGCGGGGATGTGGGTGGCCGTGTCAGGGTCTTGGCAACGGTGCCCATGTGCTGCATGGGCCCGGCGAGGGGCTCTGCTCGTGAGTATAGGCGGGAGAACAGACACGTTCACAGCAAACGTGCTGTGTCTCCAGCAGAACTTCCTGGCTTTATTTAGGAGTCATGCGCATAGACAGAGTCCTAGTGGAAAGCTCGATGCAGTGTGGCGGGGTGCTCAGAGAGGGAACGGGCAGAAAACCAGCAAGAAGGAAAGCAAAAAGAAGAGTGACGTAAGGGAGTCTGATGGCTGGGTAGAAAACAGTTTAAAATAGAAACAGAATAATAAATCCATCTGTAGTGAAGTGACACCAATGACTTTAATGGGGTTGAGTAGCTTTATGAGTGTGGAAAGCCTTTTTCTGGGGCGTGCCGAAGCCCTGCTCACATTCGCGGAGCAGCAGCGGGTGCCAGGGCTCGGTGACGGGCAGCTCGATGGCCCCAGGTCCGTGTCCCCTGCCCGGGCAGTGCTGAGCGGGGATCCCTGCGTGGGCCTTGGCGCCCTGGCTGCTGGCGGCTCTATGGATCGCTCGGGGTTTTGCCAGGAACCCTCTCCCAAGCGCCATCTGCTCTGCGGTGACTCTTCTTGGCCCGTCTTGCTGACACCTTCCCCCCCTCTCTATTCTGCCCCGCAGGTTGGATCCTGGCTGCGAACACGTCCTGCCCATTGACTATTACTTTCCACCTCAAAAGACCTGCCTGATCTGCGGTGATGAAGCGTCCGGGTGCCACTACGGAGCCCTCACTTGTGGCAGCTGCAAAGTCTTCTTCAAACGGGCCGCAGAAGGTAACGCATGCAGGGAGCAGCGCGAAACCCAGCCGGGTGCCAGGGCTCCCCTGTCCCCGAGAGCTGGCAGTGCCCACACGAGCTCTTTGCTAGCAGTGAGGTGCTCAATGCATGAGCGCTGGGGGCGTTTGCAGCATTGTGGTGTGTTTTTCTCCCGTTGAAGTTGAGCAGCCTTGCTTGCTTTGGGGAACCTGCGCGCCAGGGAGATGAAGGTTGCAGGTGTAGGGGCAAGTGTGCTGGGTCTCTAAGGTCTTTGGAAATGTTAAAGGAGAAACTTCATAAACAAATTGATTTCTTTGACCTGCGTTTGTTGTTTCACATTGTAGACTGCCCTCAAAAAAGTAGCCCAAACAGTATGCCCTAACATGGTGCTTTTCAATATTTGATTATCTAAGTGACCTCATTAGGCTTCAGGTAGCTGGTGTCCACTTTTCGTATTGAGAACCCTCAAGGGTTCCCTAAATCCCATCAGCTCCGGGCTCTCCCTCTCCTGCTTCCCGTGCGGAGGATCGCTCCCTCGGTGCCACCCAAGCAGCAGCTCTTTGCTGCACAGAGGCGTCCGCCTGCCTGCCCTGTGTCTGCCCTGCGTGCCCAGGCCGGCCCTCGGGAGCCCCGCAGGCTCCCTGGGCTGCGGCTGAGCCCAGGTGCCCCGTCACGGCAGACACTGTCTTTACGTCGTCTTTCCTCGGTAATTAGAGTATAGCAGGAGCAAGGCCAGTTCTTTTCTTAGGCTGGTGGGTCAATAACTTGTAGTTTTATAACTACGTGTAAGAATTATGATTCCTTGGCAGCAGAGTGAGACTGTTTGCTGTGGAAGCTTAACTGTCCAGTAATATAATACACCCATAAATCACACCTCTGACTTGTTTTCTGGAGTGTTCAACCAATACAAATCATAATTCTTCCTCAGAGTAAAAGGGACTTCTCAGCGCAGCAGCCCCCAGACGTGAGTGTCACCGCTGAGGCAGCGTGGCCGCCACGCTGGTGACTGGCCTGGCATTGGCACTCAGTGTCCCCACGTCTCCTTCTCTGCGGATACCCGTCCTGCCGGGATGCCGCCCTGTGCACATGCAGGGATCGCGCCAGGCGAGCTCGGGGTGCTGCGGAAGGGAGTGGGAGCAGCGAGGTGGAGGGACCAGCACTGCGGTCGCCTGCACTCGGAGGAGCAGGGAATCGCATCCCACCCAAGGCGCTGGAGCGGGTCACACCGCTCTGGGTGGGTGTGTGTTGCGTGAGTCAGTTCATTGCTGCTGCTGTTGGGGTCTCACCTGCCTTTGTCAGAACTTTTGCTTCTGAGCTAATTCCAAAATTGTTGGGTCCATATTCCGAGCTTTGGTTTCCTTGGTGCATTGTGCATACCGCGAGGGACACCTTGAGCATCAGGGCAGGGCCCCAGAGGACCTTTACACCAAAAACCTCCACTTGCCATACTAATAACATTAAAGGATAGTAGGTCGGGCACATTTTCCCCAAGTAAATCGTTTACAAGCATGTGTGTCTGCCACATTCCACCCCTGGGTAAGGCCACCGATTGCTGGTGTGACCGAGGTAAAGAACAAGCCTAAGTCAGCAAGTTCCTGTTGACTTCCAGTGAGGGAGCCCTGGCCACCTTGGTTGGATGAGGTGCAGAGCACCGTGTCAGGCAGTAGGTGCCGGACACGGCTCCTCTTCCACATCGGAGCTGCCTGCACGGAGCATCATGCGCTGCTCACAGCAGCTCACTCCCTTCTCCACGAGTGGCCTGAAAATGTGTGCAGGGAAGCAGATTTTGCCAGGTTGGTGTGGTGCAGCCGTAGATGAGACCCTGCTTGCGAGCCAGCAGGTTGCAGCAGCCGGGGCGTCAGGAGCTGGGGAAGGTCAGGGCGGCTGCACACGCCGAGCGGGACAGGAGCAGGATGGTGCAGAGCCTGTGACAGCAAATGGGCCCCGTGGTGGGGACAGGGGGAGCTGGGACTTGAAAAGCCAGGTCGCTCCCTCATCCTGCTCTCCTGAGTCACAGGATTTAAATCTGGGGGCTGCACCTCTGTGCTAAAGTTATAGCAGGCCCATTTCTCTTTGTCCATCTCTGCTTTCCTGGCTGTGTTCTTGATTTCGGGAGTGATTTGGGTGGGTATTATAAAGAAATTAATAGGAAGCAGTCTCTTTGGATTTAGCCATGTCATGGGGTGCAAGCAAAGGCAGAGCTCTTCATGGTTTTGTGCCTCTGAGCCTTTGGCAATAAAATGCAGTATAAATGCATTTTATATGTTGAATAATTACAGCTAGGGAGCTTTGGATTGCATCTTATGTTGCTGTTACCCTGAGACGCCTGAGAATAGCTTTTTGGAAAAAAGAGGCAGTAAATCAGGCTCATTTGTAAAAAGTGAACACAGGGTAATGGTAGGTGATGATTTTCTGTCTTATTCTTGGTGATTTTCCAGCCAGACCTTTCCTTCTTCATGATGAGGAACAGTCTTAAAAGCTGGTATTTCGGTGTGTTCCTAGGTTTTAAAGTCTATAAAATGAATCTCTGAAAACCTTAGGGCATCTTTTGACCTGCCGTTGTAAAATGTTTCCAAAAGCTTCACAGATAAGAAAAGAACCTCTTCTTTCTGCCTTTGTTTCCTTCCTGTTACTCAAGCAAACCAGCATCTTCCAAAGGGTGGGAGAAGCAACGTGCTGTGAGCTGGACAGCAAAACAAACACATCACCTCACAGGGAAGAGAGAGTAGCTCGACTCATGATTTGTCTATTTTTCATATTTTTTTGTCAGATACAATTTTGCACTTCTCTTAAGCTTCCCCGAATTGCTGCCAGAGTTGGATATATATTTTTTTCAAGTTCAAGTCTAACCAGTTCTTCCAACAAGATACCAGAACAGTTCATAGGAAAGACATGAATGTGCCCATGTCCTGTCAGGTGTCTGGCTTTGTGAGCTCTCCCAAGAGCAGGTTAAGTGTGGGCAAGCTCCAAGCCCCACCATGGGCTGTTTAGCCCTGATGTGAACGTGGAAGATGGACACCAGGTTCTGGTGGTCACGCAGACGACTTGCTGATCTGCATTCAGACATGCCCCGGATTAGCCTTTTTCCAGAACACTGTTTTAGGGCCAGCTCAACACTTTCTTGCCAGTTCTCAAGATAATAGCAAGTTTGAAGGAACAGATTTCAGAGAACATCACCATTTTTTCAGATTCTTTCTTCTCTTTCTGCTGGCCTACCTGGCACTATGTAAAAGGACCTACAGAAAGCTGTCTTGGTCACCTGCTTCGGCGGATGGCTCCATCCATGGCAGCGCAGCGGTGCATCCTTTTGGGGATCTGCTACATCGGCACCCGCCTCTCCGTGTGAGCCTTGGACCAGCTAATCTGCAGAGGTCCCCTCCAGCCTCAGCTATCCTGTGATGAGCTCTCTGCATGGTGCTGGTGGCTGCTGCTTGCTGCTTCAGTTATCGCTTAAGCTAATGATCCTGTCTTTTTGGTGTAAGGAGAGTCAGACGAGGCATTGATTGGAGCTCGAGGTGGACGTTTTAGCTTTGAACAGGTTAGTGAGCTAAAACATAATGGTATTGACTTGTTGCCAGCGGGTCAAACAGTTACAGTGTTTTTGCTCATTGGATTTAAATTTCTTTAAAATAGAGCTTTAATTTGCACAATCATGTAGTTGTTTTTGCAGCTTGAAGATTACCCCCGGCTTCTCCAGCCTGTCATTGCCGGACTGCCTGCCCGTATGGAACTGCTATCTGTGTGTGCTGTTAATGTGCCAGCACCTGTAGCTGCTCCATCCTTGTTCCCCTGCGGCCAGGCACGCTCCTGGTCGTGTGGGTGGACTGTCATTCCTGGTGTCCTGCAGGGATCCCTTCCTGCCCTGCAGCCGCCGTGCGCCGAGCCTGGCGCTCTGCTCCCAGGGCTGCCGAGGCCGCTGCCCTGGGCTGTCTGTGCCCTGCACCGCGGTTTCACAGTGAGGTGGAAATGTGTGATTCAGTAATTAGGGGTGACCGTTAGCAAAACTGCTTTGCAAAGACAGTTTATTAATAGTGGCTTGTTGCTGGATCCTAAAAGCCAAGTAGTTTTGTCCTCTACTTCTAAAGGAACATGAGCGAGGAATTGTAAAGCAGTCCCTGTATCTAACGGGTACACTCTGCTGTTGCCATATCCCAGTTCATGACAGCAACTGGTACCGGATTTTTTTAAGGAAAGTGCTAGAAAACAGGCAGGTGCATGCAATTCTGGGCTGGGCATTTACTCTGTCAAAACACTCTGTTTTATTCCCAGCAGTTAGATTTTGGTTTATGCTTTGAAACATGAGGATATAATCACTCATCGAAAAGGTATTTAATGGGCTTTCACATCACATAAGACTGTAAATCTTGCTCCAGATGTTGGCAGAGATCGCCGTGCTCTCTGGAGGAGGCTCCTGCGCTAGGCACGGCACTTCGTGTGGCAACAGCCTCGTACTTGAGTAACTGCTGTGTACTGAGCTGCCCGTCCCCTGTAAATTGTGATTTGCAGTCAGGAGCAGAGAGGTGCTGTTCTCCTCTTGCGCTGCTCCTGGTGCTAATGGTCCTCTCTGGGGATGAGCTCAGCCAGGCTCTGGAATGCAGAAGCCTCTTTCTGCCCAGTATCAGCTCGGAAGGGAGCAGGCAGAGGCATCAGAATGGGTGGCAGCGTGTCCGGGTGCACGGTGAGGTGGCATCTCCAGTGATGCTCCCGCACAGCAGCAGCGTGAGTGCCTCTGCAACCTGGTTTGTCACCTAGCATGGTCAGGCCACGGAAGAGGGGAAGGTCTTTTCCAGGCTACGTCCAAGAGGGATGTCCCCAGGATGAGTGTTCTGAATCCGAAGCAGCATCCTGTGTGGGACAGGCCGTGGGGCTGGAGCCTCCTGCTGCGTGGAGGGATCCTGTCCCAGAGCAGGGTGGGATGCAGAGCTCAGGGCTCCTTGCTGGAGGCTGTGGGAGGCCAGGCCTGGAGCGGGGCACCCTGGCCGGCAGCATCTCCATCACTTCTCCATGTTTCCATTGCTCTGTTGCTGGGGGGCGGAGGGGGGAAGGGAAGAAAATTAAAATTTTAAATAGCAAACACTGCTGTTTTTGTGAATAGGAGCTAATTTAGCGTAAGTATTGCTTATTGTTGCCAGTTATCTTCTGCGTGGTTTCAGAATGAGCGCAACCTTTCCTTGATGTGTGATCAATTGCCACAGCTTGCTAAATTCCAGGAAGCAGAATTAGATAAGCAGGTGAGGGCTGTTTAGACTAGCTGACTTCTTTTATTCTGAAACTTGATAAAAAATAACTTATTTGGTTTGTCCTCTGTGGGTAGAAAAAGAGACACTGTAAAATGTCAGTAGGACTGCGCTCAGTAAGGAAGTGGTTTTGGAAAACAGATGTGGCAAATACAGAGTAGCTGGTTCTGCAGAGAGCTGGACTGCTGGGTATAGCAGGGGAACGTGCATGAAGCCCAGACCCGTTTGCAAAGCTGCAGCCTCTGCTTAGGAGCAATATCTCAAACATCTCCATCTTTGCCAGAGGGAAAAGAGGGAAAAGATCATTCCAGTGTTAAACCCAATAAAACAGAAAATAGCTCATTTTTCTTTAAATAAAGACCAGTTGATTTCAAATTTGTCAGCTTGTTCTTAGATGAAGAGAGAAAATGATCCTGACATTTAAAAACCTCTCTGTGCATGAAAAGGCTCTGCAGCTCGGTGGGGCCGGTTTGTGCCCCAGCCGCTGTGCGAGGACGCTCCGGCGCTCGCCCTCGTGCTGAGCCAGGTTTCTGCTTCGCCTCCCTCCCCGTCAGGGTTAGTGGCCGCTTTGGGTTGAGTCACGCAGCGCCCGGTGCCGCTCCCGGCAGAGTCTCGGTGTGAAGATGTGGGTTTTGGAGGCAGGAAGCGGCCCTGCCTGTTGTGGCCAAGCTGCCCCTCCGTGACCTAGGGGCATGGTGAGTGCAGCCGGAAAGCTCCTGTTCCCCCGGCTGTGGGCGAGGAAGCAAAGTGAAGCAGAGATTTGTTAAATGTGCCCATTTCTGAGAGTAATGATCTGAGAGAGCAGGCAAGCCTTGAAGCCGCCTGACGCGTCAGGGTGGATCTGCCTCCCTGCCTTCTCATCAGTGTGCGAAGTGGCTCCCGGTGTCCCTAACCTCAGACGAAGCGCATGGCTGGCGGTTCTCGGTGCTGGAGGATCCCAGGAGACCTGCTGTGTCCCGGCAGCTCGAACCCCATTGCCCACGTGGAGGTTGTGGGTGCCGTGAGGGATGGTGCTGTGGGAACAAATGGGATAGAGCTCAGGATGGGACCTGTGTCCTGGTCTTGGTCTAGATCTTGGTTGTTGTCTAGGTCTGGGTTCTTGGGCTAGGTCTAGGTCTTGGTTTGGCTTTTCCTAGGGTTTGGAGCGATTATTGCAGTAATGATATGGTAATTGAGACCAGGAAGAACAGATAGGGCAGAGAGAGAGGAGCAGAGCAGACTGCCTTGGAGGTACCTAGACTGTGGAGTGTCCCAGCTGGGAACAGTGCCACGGGGCTGGGATCCAGGCTGGGCTCCTGCTTTCCACGTGGGTGCATGGAGCAGAGCACCCACTTCCACCAGGCGTGTGCCTGCAAAGAGGTCAAGTAGCGAGAGCACGGCCGTGGCACCCGCTTTCCCGGCACAGAAATAGCTGCCAGTGACCCAGTTTCGGCTGAAGTTGTGTATTACTCATCCCTCTCAATAAAGTGCTGAAAAGGGGGAAGGTGCTTGTGTTCTGTGCGACTTTGTGTAATCTCTGCTTTGGAGGCTTTTCTGTGTGTCCTCAGTGCTGTTAATGAGCGAAGGGAGAGGGCCTTGGAGCGGCGCTGATGGGAACGACCTTAAAGGGTTTGGGGGGTGTCACGTGTGATGGGGACAGTCTGGGTGATGCTGCCTGTGTGCGCAGGATGAGTTGCTTGGGGACCCCAGGCCTGTGGGTGCAGGACATGGGATGCCTGCCCTGCTAGGGATCGGTAGCCACAGGACCTCCTTGGAGCAGTGGGAAAGTAACTTGGAATGTGGAGGGCAGTGGGAAGCAAGGCTTGGTGCTGATGTGACGGGTGACTAGTGCTTGCTGAAGGGCTGGCCCCTTGCCTGGTGCTGCACCTCAGGGTGCCGCAGAGCTGTGCGTGGGACGTGCGGGTTGCTAAGTCCATGCAGCACCAGTAGATCTGTCCATACGTGCATATGTTGCACCGAGTTCCTGGAAGAACGTGCACAGCGAACACTCGCTGCGTGAGAAGCACAGGATCGATGGGCATGGAGCGGTTTCCCCATCGCCTACCTCTGCAGAACCTGTAATGTGCACCATGCTGCTGCTGGGTGAGACTGGGCTTAATCTGGAGCAGTACCAAGAACATCAGATAAATCCTGATCCCAGAAATGTGTTTAGACTTGACAAGGAAACCAATTATGAGTCAGGAAGGAAAGTTACTTCTTGGTATGTCCAGAGAATGGGGCAGTAGAGAAAATCGGGTGAAATCTGGATAAATATCACCCCTGAGAGCTGCTTTTCCACTCTTCAGCAGCAGGAAGGCACCTGCGCTGCAGATGGGGAGGGCCGTTCGTCACCCCACGTGGCTCCCGTGGGTCCCCATCCCCGGGTGCAGGAGGAGGAGGAGTGGGCAGAAGAAGGCTTTCTGTTCCCTGGGGGCCTGGAAGCTGCTCCAGCAGCTCCCGGCATCTGCTTCCCAGCTGAAAAGACGGTGCATCGGGTTGCACGCCCATGCTGGAGGTGACAGAATGGTGAAAGCTGAGAGGTATTTTTTGGAAACACATCACAAAGCTAGCACAGAAACATGGACTTGGCTTGGGTAAGAGCTTGGCGAGTGCTTGGCTGGGAGAACTGAAGGCCATTTCTGCTCGTACACCTGGTCTGGCTCGTTTCCCCTCTCCACGTGCTGTTTCTTGTGCTTCTTGCAGGGAAGCAGAAGTACCTTTGTGCCAGCCGGAATGACTGCACCATCGACAAGTTCAGGAGGAAAAACTGCCCGTCCTGCCGCCTGCGGAAGTGCTACGAGGCGGGGATGACCCTCGGAGGTAACCTGCAAGCAGCAGCGTCTGTTCCATGCGCCCGGGCAGCCCGGCTAATCGTGCGGATAAGTAATGTCCTTGCTATCTTAATACCAAATGTCTGGGTAAATGAGGCTCATGGAGCATGAAGAGCTTCAGGAAAGCTCTGCAGTTTCCACTGACAAAAAACTCTTCCTTTATATAAAACCTTGTTCATCAGGAAAAATATATGAACAGCCAGGTAAAGTGGATTTGCGCTTGTACCAAGTCACTTTGAATTGCTCACTCCCATTTCAAATGATTTTTCACTGGCAAAAATAGACAAAGGGGCATTTTTCTTCATAAAAATATGGCACCAGTATTTTTCTTCTCTAAAGGGACATTGCTACTGTACCAGTAGTAAAATTCCTTGCTATAACATAACTCTTTTCCAGATACATAAAGCTAGCAAATGTGTAGCTATACCAAAGTCTGAAGAAGTATCTGCTTCCAAAATCTGAGGCTTTCTGAAAGCTACAGTCCAGACCATACAAAACCACTCTCGTCTGCATCGAGCAGGTCTCCTTTCCTGACCGAAACCTTGGGATTTCCGCAGAGCTGTGTTCCCTGCAGCTGCCTGGCTTCTCTCTACCTCAAGGCCTGAGAAATGTTCAGCATACAGTAATTTCCAAGCACCTTTGAGCGAGCGTCCTGCAGGTTTAGTTCCTGTGGCCTGGAGGTGCAAGGGGAGCGCGCCGGAGGAGTCGAGCAATGTGGGATGCCGTGGAGGGAGCCAGGCATTTTGCTGAGGTGCTCATGGCTTTGCTGAGGCACCTTGCAGAGCCCGTGTGGTGCCGCACGTCGTCTTGAGGTGCTTGTGGCTAGAGAGGTTCCGTTTTACTGCTCCTCCAGGAGCAATGACTTCAGTTTTATTTCCCCTGAGCAATTCTCACCGCTCAGGCGCAACGATCTCCCGCGTGGAGCGGAGCAGGCTCCAACCTGCTTGTGCCACCTGCTTTGCAGGCAGGAAATCTGGGAGAGCGGAGGCAGCTCGGGGCTGGGCAGCAGGGAGACGCGGGGACGTGGAGTTTCTGCTCTCCCCAGTTAGGGCAGAGAGAACAAGCTCATAGAGAGCATCCTAAAACCAGGCCGTTTTGTGTGTGAGTGACTTGTGCCAAGCCAGGGAGCATCGGTACGTGGGGGCGAGTAGCCTGGCGGCGGGATGGAGCTAAAATGCTGTGTGTAGGTGAAGTTGTGAGCAGAAGAGGCTGCCAAGCCCTGGTGGCCGGCTGCGTTGTGCTGTGGTGGTGGCTGCTGCACGTGGACTTGCTGCTGTACAACCTCTGCCCTCCTTCCCGCAAGTCTCTGTCCTGTCCTGTCCCATGCAAGCTTTGCAGTGCTTGTGCCAAGGGTTTCCTGCATTTGAGTGGTAGGAAGGGGTCCGGTGATGGGCTAAGGCTGTCCGCTTGCTCGCTAGTGTTAGCCAGGGAGCGTCCCTCCATCCTTCCTGCAGGATCTGGTTCGACCTCCTGCCATCTAGTCCCATGTCGAGTTGGGCATGAGGAAGGAGGCTGTTTTCCTGGAGACATCCTGGCTCTTGGAGCCTTCCTGCCTGGATGCCTTCATTCTTGCTGGAGTTCATGGTGAAATTTGCTTTTGGGTTTGGGTTTTTTTTTTTTGGGGTTCGTTTGTTTGTTTTCTTGTTTTTATGGCTCCTGGCGATGCTCTGTAACTCTGGGTCTCCTGGAAGTGAGGACTTCTCCAGGAAAGCTTCAGCACTTCATGGTCAGCCTCGCAGTGTCACTGTGGCAGCGCTGTCCCTGCATTGCTTATGTGATTCCTGGGCTCTTTGGGGCTGGAAAGGGCAGAGAGGAGGAATCAAACCCAGCTCCACCATCCTCAACCAACCAAAGGGCTCTTTGTAATCCTATCCAAGACAAGCACGTCCTTATTTTTCGTGGTAAAGTTTCCTTAAATAAAAGCAGACATCCATCAATGCAACCCTTCTGTAGGACACACTGACAAAATGCTAATACTGATTCCACCCCCTCTCTTTTTTTTTTTTTTTTTTTTTTTTTTCCCTTAAGCTCTTTGGGTCACCCTGACCTGTTCTGCTTGGTCTGTTTTGCATTTGTTTTTAATGTTGGTTTAAAAGTAATTGTTAAAAACATGCATGCTATGAGTGTCTCCACAGCTATTTCTCCCACAGCAGAGGCACAGCCTTCGCAAAGGCTTCCAGGCTCCAGCCACTTGGTCTTAACTGCCTGTTAATTGCCAGTCACTTGGAGGGAGAATAGGGCTGACTGTGAGCAGCAGAGCCGGCTCTGAGGACGGTCAGTGGTAGGAGGAGGTGACATACTGAAGCCTTATTTAGGACTCTGCTTTGGCACAGAATGGCAATATTTCGAAGCACTTCATTATTGATTGAGATCACTCTGACCTGAAAGCTGAAATCCATTAAACGGAATCTTCTCTCCTGATCAACCCTATAAAGCCAAAGAGAGGAAAAACATTTAGAAAAGGGTAATACTGCTTTCCCTTGCTTGGTTCTGCTAGTGCTTTTTCCTCCCTGTCCTGCAGGACCCCTTCCTGTTGCAGGCTGAGGTATCTGCATGGTTCTCCGATGCATTTCAGTCCAGATGTGCATTGACCTTGTCACTGTGCACACTCGCACCCAGCCACCGTCATCCTGTCCCAGTGGGGACACGCACATCCCTCAGTGCCCACCAGTGCTCAGCTGCACAGCTCTGGATTTAAGGCACCTGCTGTTTGTTTGCCCCCAGTGCATTTTATTCTTAGCATGCATACGGTATAGTGTAGCATCCCATACACCATTCCAGTTCTGCAGACTAAACGTATGTATGCCAATGGTCTGGATTCCCAACTGGTTAATGTTGGACTTTGCTCCTCAGCCCACAGCTTTGCCTGTGAACCTGCTGCCTAATTGCAGCACTCCCAAACATGCAGGACTCGTTGCTTGTCAGGCTAGAAGACTACAGCAGTAACGGTGTAGATCCCTCGGCAGCCCAGGACGTGAGTCATACCTATACATATTCCTAACTCAAGTCCATTGTGGTTAAAAGAGAGCTTGTGTCTTACAAAAACAAGTGATATTGATGCGAAAGTTTCCAGCGCTGGAGAATCTAACACACTTTTTGCCAGGCTGCTGCAGTGCTTAATAACTTCCACTGCTGCAATAGTTGGCTCTTGTTTTTCATCTTGTCAGTCCTTGATTTCCACCAACTGGATCATCATTACTACTCTACTTCCTAGATTCAAAAGCTACCCTAATGAATTCCTGTTTCCCCAGAGAGTCTGTGTAGGCTGTGACTAAAATAACCCCTTTGCCTTCTCCTCCACAGCCACTAAATTAAATTCTTCCTTGCTCCAAAGGGCTTTTTCTTGTCTTTATTATTATGACTTCTGCAGTTTGCCAACATCTCCCTTGCAGTGTGACCCAGCCCCCTGTTCCCTTGTGAGCAGCATTGGTGCTCAGAGCTGCACCGAGATGCTCCAGCTCCGTGTTCTCCTTGCTGTCACCGGGGATCCTGCTAGTCCTGCAGCCTCTGACTCACGCTGCCAGCTCAGGGTTGTGTTTACCACCAACTTTTCTGAGAATTCAGGCTTCGTAGGATGGAGCTTATCCTTCTCAGTATACAGCTCACAGTTTAAGGTGCTGCATGTACCTGTTTACAATGAAATGCAGTGTGTTAGAGGAGCCTGAGCATAGCAGCAGACCCTGATCAGTCTCATCATGACTAGTTCTTTCCTTTCATTATTGTATTCCCATCTTAGCATTGCCCTACAGACTTCATTCGTAGAAACATTTAATTTTCTTTTTGAATTAATATAAATGTTCGAAAGCACAGGGCCAAGAGCAGCCCTCATAAGAACCAAACCTGTTTGATAATGTTTCAATATTTATAGTTACATTCAAGAGGCATTGGCCAGTTGATAGAAGATCATTTCTATTCAGCAGTATCATTTTATGTTCTGTTTTTTTGACTCATATGCAAACTGAGTCAGATTACTATGCTAGCACTATTATTTTTATCAATTAAAATTATCATGCCAAAAAGAAAAGTAGCTTGATAGGTTCTGTTTTCAGCAAACTGAATGTTGATTCAAGTTAACAAATAATTTGAAGAGCAGAATAAGTCAAGCCCTGTTTCAGCTTTTCAGTCATTTTGCCTGAAGCTGAAATCAGACTGACATGCCTACAGTTGACAAAGGCTCTTTGTAATTTTGAATACAAAAGTAGTTTTATTCCAGTTTCCTAGAACTTCTCAGAGTTTGCAGACTTGTTAAAAATCACTATCAGTAGCCCAGAGCATTCCTAGACCAATTCTTCAGAAACTGCTGGCTGGAAGTCATCCACGCTAAGCTGCTTAAAACGTGTATAATTGCTGCAATTGCTCTGTAACGTGCTCCCTAGTGGCTTTTGCAGTGCTGAATATTTTATCGTGATATCATAGTATATTACATTGTCTGGGCTTTTTCCAAATGCAAAAAGAATACCTGCTAAACCAAGAATAAAACAGGATTTCAAATGCATTGCATGTGCAGATTGCGGTCGCAGTGCATTTGTCATTGTTATGAGGCTTCCTGAACGATTTTTTTTCTCTAGTAACAGCAAAAACAGACTGATTTTTTTTCTTGTTTTCAGTCCCAGCTGCTGGGACTCATCCCTCCTTAGTTCAGACATCCCAGGTCTAGACTTTCACCTCGCTTAGCTCCTCCTGGAACTGAGAGCAATGGGTGTCTCCCTTAAGAGCAGATCCATTGCAAACATCTGTTTCTGTCCACGGTTATCAAGGGAGTCTGTGAAATTAGAAGAGATGAGTCCCACACTGGGGTCTGCGATGGTGTCAGAGTATTTTGGAGATACGTAGAACAAACCAGCTCCTCCCTGCATCGACGTGCTAGGTCTTGGTTCCAAGTGCCTTTGTTCCCAGTCAAGGGCTGAGAAGTAGCTGCCATCAGCAGGGCTTTTGCAGAAGTGAAGCAAAATTAAGGCAAAAGTGCTTGTCTTTGCTATGGGAGAATTGTTGTCTTGGGAGCTGTGTTTGTGAGAACATCTATCTGGAGCCCAATATTTTTCAATTTGAAATAAGTGTGAAGTAAGATTCCAGTAAGGCCAGGTGGGCTATTTCAACAGCTGAATTTTGGAACAGATTAACTACAACAGTTTTACAACCTAGAGAAGTCCTCCTAAAAGCTATAGATTTTTATACTTAGTGTAATCTAATCTTCACCTCTGAAGCTTTCCTCCAGCTAATAGCACCAGTATTTCAATGATCTGTGGAACAACTGCTCCTGTAAAGCTCAGACGTAAAGCTCCTCTGAGTTCCTGTCTGGCTTCACTGCCTCCTGGTGCAGTGGTTTATGGCTGTAAACTCAGGCGAGCCTGTTTTTTTCTTGCTTCATGGAATTTCCTTTGGCCCTAGAGAACTCAATTGAAAACATTATAGCATTTAAACCAAAGGCTACGGGACGTGGCTTTCACCTCAGACGGAGCTAGCCTGACGCCTCCTTCCTCCATTAGCAGTCGGTTTTTAGAAGCGAGGACTCATCTGGTGCCTTTGCACGTCGCTTGTCCAAAACAAAGACGAGTTGCAGCTTGCGGGGCCCGGCTGTGCCGCCTGCCCCGGAGATCGCGCTGCGCACGGGAATCTCAAGGTTGCGGCGCGGAGCGGGGCTTGCCAGAGCTGCTGATGGATGTGCGAGCTGGAGTCCGAGAGGAGAGGCTCTTGTTTTCGCTTTGGCCTGTGACCCACACAAAGAATTGCTGAAGTATGTCTCACTGCATATGGCCTTGTTTTCCTGTTGCTCTTTTATTTTTATTACTGTTTTCTCCTCCTTCTTTTATAGAGCAGCCTGCCTTAATTACACTTACAGTAGATCATCCAAAGTACATTACTTAAAGAGCAGTGTTTTGAATTGATTTACAGAGCTGCACTTTAGCTTGACATTTTTATGTTTCACTGCTTATTTTTCTAATTACAGCTGAAAGGAAATTTCAGATAAGTATCATGCAATGTAGGAGCCAAAACCCCAAGGACAATGGGCTTGATGTTATATTCTTTGCTTGAATTAAACGATCAGCTTTTTTCTTTAATTAATTAGGGGGTTTTGGAGCCTATTAAGGATGAAAGCAGTAATATCTACTGTAGCCTGCCAACTCCTGCTTTGCTGAACGTTGTCACATAGGTATCAAATTAGGTAAACAGGAACTCTACAAGAAATTGGCCGTTGTGCTTGTGACGCTCCTGGTGTGTTCTGTTGGCCAGAGGGTATTTGTGATTGAGGAACAGGTGTATCCCCAGGAGAGACTGCTCTCTGCAGTGAGGTGGGCACCTTCATTTGCTCACTGCAGTCTGAACCCCTGAAGTCTTCTGTCCTTGCTTCCTCTGGAAGCTGACCAAGGGACCAAGTCTACCACTTCTCACATCTTCTTTCATGGGTTGACTGGGAAGATACCTGGAAAAGAGCTGTGGAAGCACCTACCAACCTTTTAAATATATCTTTCATAATAAGTTTGTAGAGCAGTAATGCAGCTGGACATACCTGGCTGCACAAGAGTTGGGGCAGGAGGAGTCCCATGCAGAGAGAGCTTGCTCTTGGGTGCAGCCCGTTTCCTGCTCTTACGCTGAACTGGGGAGGTCAAAAGCATTTCAGTGGCTGCAGCAAGGTGAGGATGGGTGCCTGTCCCATGTGCCCTGAGTCTGGTGCCAAGTGGAGCTCTCCAGCTTATCGCATTAAAGTGCAATGAGGATTTTTGTAGAGCGTGATCAGATGCAGAGTTTACACGTGGGTGGCTTTCCTTTCTAAACACATGTGAGCAGTTATGTGAATCACTATACCTTTCCTCTTCCCAATCCTTCCTCTTATGAGTTGCACATAGCTGCATCCAGTCACTGCTGAGAATGTAAATTATGCTTGGGGTTTTTTTCCCTATAAGATTAATGACCCTCTGAATATCCTCGGGTAGTGTGTGCCCCCTTTTCTCCTTATGTGATGTCTGTGTGTAGTGAGTAGCTGCTGCTCTTCATCAGTTTTGCTTTCATTGTAAATGTAAGTGGTGGAGCTGGAAGCCAACTTCATTTTTAAATGTTGCGCTAAGATGTGTTGTTTTCCACAGCCCGCAAGCTTAAGAAGCTGGGCAACCTGAAGATCCAGGATGATTCCGAGGCAGGCGGCTCGTCCAGCCCCGCAGAGGAGCAAGCCCCCAAGATGGTGATGACCCACATCGATGGGTACGAGTGCCAGCCCATCTTCCTCAACGTCCTGGAGGCCATCGAGCCCGGCGTGGTGTGTGCTGGCCACGACAACAGCCAGCCTGACTCCTTCTCCAACCTGCTGACCAGCCTGAATGAGCTGGGAGAGAGGCAGCTGGTCTATGTGGTGAAGTGGGCAAAGGCCTTGCCAGGTGAGAGCAAATTCACCAATTCCCCCTCTTTCCCATCGCCTTCTGAGAGCCCCCTGCACACCCCATTATGGACATCATGAGGTCGTAGAACTCATGTTT